AAGTAGATCCTACCACTACATTTTGTATTTACATATTTATCCATAAATGGCCCCAACAGATGCTGTTTTTATCCGTTGGCTTTAACCTGACGAGGCACTGACTCATTATATGTTATATGATATTATTGTCATGTTGAAGAGACTATGTTGGCACAGGACAAAGCGACCCATCCATATTTGCTTACTAATTGTCGCAGATCTAGCCATGCCAGTTACAAAACTTGTCAGGTTTTGATGAAGTCAATACATTCACTCTGTGTAAATATTATATACGACCATGCTGTTGTTTAATGTCATTATACACCACCAATCAGTCAGGGAAGGATCTCCAGCCTTCCAGACAGTACCAAGCAGTGCTCTGACTTATTTGTCCTTCAGTAAGCCTGGGAGGTGGGAAGGAACATGAAATATTCACATGGAGACTGCTACAGATAGGTGAAGGTACGAAGTGGATAGACACGATCTGATGATCATGGCCTAGCCCGCTGAGATGCAGGCTGATTGGTATGCCTTTCACCCTCCTGGGTGTTCACCTTAACAAAATGATTGATCAAAATATGGTGGGAAGATAAGGCTGGAATAAATTAATTCTTCCATGTTCATCCCAGCCCGACTTGCTATGTGTGAAAGTGTGTGATTTTTGAGTGAATTGCTTATTCTGAAATATGCCCACAATAATTAGTTTTTTGGCAGTTGTGAAAAAAATGAATAGTTTGTTTTATGGAAAATACCCAAACATCAATTTTTGTGTGTTAATAGTGAAAATGAATAGATTGTTTGATGGTGCTCAGTAAATAAGTTGTTTGTTGATACAGCTGGAACAGATGCATGGACACACTAACACTTATAAATGACCAGTCCCTAAGTACAATGTTTAGCCCTAAGGAAACTGGACATTGGGGCCACAACATGGAGTAGAGTCCATCATTTACAAATACACAGGGTAATGGGGCCTGGTCAAATGTCGGAACTAACCTTGTTGGAATAGCAGCAGCTGACTGCAGCTAGTTGACAGATATTTGGCTGAGTGCTGTGGACAATTCCAGGCCAATTAAGTAGCCTCTGAAGAATATATTAGAGGGACTAATCCAGAAAAGTGCAGTGGACAGCAGAAACTGGATACCCTAGGTATTCCTTATTACTGGTCAGGATTCCTGAATATTCCATGTCTGCCCCTGCAGGTGTGTCTGTGTCTGTCGTGTCATATCCACATGCCCAGGCTTCAAACAGAGCAGGTCAGTCCAGTGGGAATGTGGTCAATTATTGCAAGTCAATTCCAGGTTTTATCCCCCCAACTTCTGAATCCATCCCTACAGATGTTTCCACCATGTGGATAAACAGTGATCTACCATGCTTGTGTGGACATGTCTCCATGTCAAAGAGTATTGTATTGTTATCACAGTGGTTGCTAAGGTGACCTTTGCCTATAGTTGCTTCCCTTTGTCATGGAAGGATCAGATGATCAACCCCCCTACGTTTGCTTTTGCGTTGCATCAGTGTCTGTGAGTCAGTTTGAGCCACATTGTCATGATTTTCCTGAATTATTGTTTATTCATTCACTATTATAGTTGTACTACTGCCTTCAGCAGTAATATGCTACTCAATGTATGTTAAGGATACTGATATATATTTAATTCACCCGTGAAGATCTGGTGTAGAATAGGTCTTCAGCAACCCATGCTTGCTGTAAAAGGCGACTATGCTTGTAGTAAGAGGCAACTAACGGGATCGGGTGGTCAGGCTCGCTGACTTGATTGATGCATGTCATCATATTCCAATTGTGTGGATTGATGCTCATGATATCAATCACTGGATTGTCTGGTGCAGACTGGGCATATAGCTGGACTATTGCTGAGTGCGGCGTTAAACAACAAACAAACAAACATATATTTAATTCTGTTGCAAAACTCAACTCAGCATATGAAACTGTGTACTTACCTTTTGTACCTCCTGCCTTCACTGTGGCCATTTCCTGACAAGGTTCTCTGGGCTCCTTTCCGATTTCTGGTGTTGAAGCCAAGTGCCATTCTTACATTTCGTAGATCTCATTAAGCATCATAATATCAGCATTTAAGCCGATACAACTGTATGATAACAGTCTGTACATACAACTTTGTCTGTATGGCCTGATTTGTTATGGCTTTTATTATGTCAATTAGTGTGGGCTTTGATGAAGTTTTGCAGCCTGAAATAATGGTTGCATTTGGGATTAAAACATTTATTAATAAGTTTAAATATATAGCATCAAAAACTTTGTAACAGCTGTACAAAGAAATAGTTCATTAGTTCATGCTGGAATTGATCATATGTTTTGGGTAAAAAAGTCTCCAATGCAAATGATAAGTTGTTCCAGCTGGGCTTTTTGGCGCCATGGAGATCATATTTGTCAGACTAAATATCTAAAGATGATGCCCTATATCCCCTGCATCCCCAAACCTGGTCCAAACATAATTTCCAACCAAAATGCATTGGGGGCTGGTCATGTGACCCCAGTGGAAACGATATATGTTATAGATATATGTTTATGGAAAGCTAATGCTTGGTCAAAGCAGTGGAGATTCCACGTAAGAATACAGATCCTCAGCAACCCATGCTTGTTGTACGAGGTGACTGAATGTGTCGGGTGGTCAGGTTCAGTGACAGTCCCAATTCTGTGGATCGATGCCCACAATATGACTCTTGATTGTCTGATCTAGACTTGATTATGTACAGATTGGAATATATCTAGCTGGAATATTGCTGATTACAGCATTACACAACAAACACACAAACAACAAACCGACTTGACTAAACCCATAAACATGGTACTGACTTAAAGAATCACAATGAGGACCTCATTTCACAGAACCATCTTTGTAATAAGACTGTCCTATACTTTAACATAGACTTAGGCTAGTCGTAACTCTACAGTAGCATTTGGAATAGACTAAGGTCTATTTGTGGAAGGGGGTTGAGGGTCAATCTTTGAGTTCAAACCCAAGCCAGCAGCTTCTGGCAGTTGGACAATATTCAACACTAAGCTGCAGCTCCTTAGCCTGCTGGGCTGCTTGTACATGCCCTGAAAGGTGGAGCAACCTTCATTGTGCAGTCGATAGTGTGTCTACCTGGAGAGTGGAAGGTTGGTGGTTTGATCGCCGAGCTACACCATACTGAAAGATGTTAAGCATTTAAGGATAAAACAAGGAATGACTAATTCCGTATACTGTGTCTGAGTGGAGTCTGAGCTAAACTGGTGAATCGTATCTCATTGGGCAAGAACTAAAAAAACTTCCGGACAAGTGCAAGAAGTCACACTTGCATGCACTTCGACATATAAGTGCAATGATGTTATAGTCCATTTCACCTCACCTCACCTCACCTCACCTCACCTCATCTCAAAGGGCAGCCGGATAGCCTAGTGGTTAAAGCGTTCGCTTGTCACGCCAAAGACACGGGTTCGATTCCCAAAAAGTGTGCAATGTGTGAAGCCCATTTCTGGTGTACCCTGCCGTGATATTGCTGGAATATTGCTAAAAGCGGCGTGAAACCTCACCTCACCTCACCTCACCTCACCTCACCTCACCTCAACTCAACTCAACTCAACTCAACGCAACGCAACGCAACGCAACGCAACGCAACGCAACGCAACGCAACGCACAATACCGCACCATACCGCAATGACATGAGCATAGGCATGTAGTATATTCAGACAACTACTGCATTGGTGCCTGCATGTTGCTATATAAGTCAGTACTCATTCACCCTTCACCCCTTGGTGTCTTGCAAGTAACACCTTCAAGGTACGGATACCCAAACTATGTGCTGACACCATCTTAGGGATTTCTTATGGAAGTTATATTTTGCATGTTTGGCAAACCAACTTTTTTTCTCTTTATTTGACATTCTGTTAATGGTAGGTCAAACTGATGATGGAATATATAATTTATTACCTTGTCAGCCAGTAATGTTGTCATGGTATTGGGAATGTGAGGGAACATTTGATAGTCGAAGGTGATAGATCAGCTGAACGCTATTGGAGATTTAGAATCTGCCTAATTTTGTATCATCTTGTAGGAAGGGGGCTCTTGTTTTAACAATATATATAGGTTCCAATACTCTGGGACCGCCGTCATATAGCTGGAATATTGCTGAGTGAGGCATTAAACAACAAACCAACCAACCAACCAATACTCTGGACCAGTACTATATGTATATCTTCTTTACTCAGTTCGTCATGAAGGATTTATCTTGATTCCAAACAAAATGCCCTTGGCAAGCAAATTAGGAAAGTTCTTCATTATCTTAGATTCAGAGGTCTCTTATCAGTATATATTAACATTATATTTGATGGAATAATGTAAAACTAACCATTAAATCCCCTTCTTCTTTACTGTCCCTCTTAACAGTGAAATACAAGTCCCCTCTACCAAGCTGCACATTAGTTATATATTTGAAGTGAAGGTATAGAAACATGAAATTGGAATTTAATTCTTAATTTGGGAATTGTTCTCACATTTGCTGCAGATTTGGGTCGAATATCGGCAGCTGAGCAGGTCCAGAGAAATCACCAGTCATATTAGAACAAACTTTAGCAGTTCATTCATCTCACCTGGTTGCTAATTGTTATTAAGTCCTGACAAAATTTAGCATGATGCAATTCAAATGTACAAAGAATTCCCTTGTGGGTGGTAAAGTATTGTCATTTGTCCGTAGATTGTTGTGCATCTAAATGTTCCTTGACAGATTCTTCTCTTGTCAAAGGAGAGTTTGTTTAACACTACACTCAGCATTATTCCAGTTACATGACGACAGTCTGTAAATAATCAAGTCGAGACCAGACAAGCCAGTGACTGATATTATGAGCAACGATCCATGCTGTCAGGGTATGATGACATGCTATCAGCCATGTCCTCGAGTCTGACCACTGGATCCATTAAGTCACCTTATGACAAGCATAGGTGGACCAATTCTACCTGTGAGAGTGTGGTTTCTAGCACTGAACCTTCACCTTCTGTTTACAGAGTGCATTCCTGACAGAAGTTTGCATCAGCAGCCAGATGGGAACAGATCAAAGTTCGAAAAATATGAAGGACTCCTGTACCCCCTGTCATTACAACAAAGGTAAGCTGTTGATCTGTCATGTAGGTAAAGGTAAGCTTCCTGTCATTACAAGGTAAGCTGTTGATCTGCCATAGAGGTAAAGGTAAGCTTCCTGTCATTACAACAAAGGTAAGCTGTTGATCTGTCATGTAGGTAAAGGTAAGCTTCCTGTCATTACAACAAAGGTAAGCTGTTGATCTGTCATGTAGGTAAAGGTAAGCTTCCTGTCATTACAACAAAGGTAAGCTGTTGATCTGTCATGTAGGTAAAGGTAAGCTTCCTGTCATTGCAACAAAGGTAAGCTGTTGATCTGTCATGTAGGTAAAGGTAAGCTTCCTATCATTACTACAAAGGTAAGCTGTTGATCTGTCATGTAGGTAAAGGTAAGCTTCCTGTCATTACTACAAAGGTAAGCTGTTGATCTGTCATGTAGGTAAAGGTAAGCTTCCTGTCATTGCAACAAAGGTAAGCTGTTGATCTGTCATAGAGATAAAGGTAAGCTTCCTGTCATTACAACAAAGGTAAGCTGTTGATCTGTCATGTAGGTAAAGGTAAACTTCCTGTCATTACAACAAAGGTAAGCTATTGATCTGTCATGTAGGTACAGGTAAGCTTCCTGTCATTACAACAAAGGTAAGCAGCCGATCTGTCATGTAGGTAAAGGTAAGCTTCCTGTCATTACAACAAAGGTAAGCTGTTGATCTGTCATGTAGGTAAAGGTAAGCTTCCTGTCATTACATCAAAGGTAAGCAGCTGATCTGTCATGTAGGTAAAGGTAAGCTTCCTGTCATTACAGCCAAGGTAAGCAGTCTCTCTGCCGTGTGGATTGAGATGGGTGACTTTTAGGCTGATCTGTCAACTTATCATCAGTTATTATTTTGCATCTTTTGGTAAATGCCTTCAAAGCCTTCAAAGACCGCCTCCGTGGTCTAGTGGTAGAGCGTCCGCCCGCAGAGCGGAAGGTCCGGGGGTTCGATCCCCAGCCGCATCATACCAAAAGACGTTAAAAGATGGAACTTGTTGTTACCCTGTCTGGCGCTCGGCATTAAGGGGTTAAAGCAAGGACTGGTCGGCTCGGAGTCAGTATACTGTGTCTGAGTGGGGTATTCATGTTAAACTGTGTCATGGTATCTCAGTGAGCTAGCACTATAAATCGGCATCAGTCCGGTCTAGTACAAGGAGCCACACACACACACACACACACACACACACACACACACACACACACACGTGCGTGCATGCACGTCGCTATATAAGTGCAATAATCTTTGACGCGACGTTAAACCCAATTTCACCTCACCTCACCTCAAAGCCTTCAAAAATGTAATGTGTGTGTTCACATTGCAGACCCACTCTGACAATGATCGGTGTCCACTCATCCAGTCACAGATTATCTGGGTTAACAATGAAACTGTTTGTTTGATTATTTATGACTGCTCAAATTACAATTAGCAAAGGGTGTTGATTTATGATGTCCTTTGTTAGAGCGATTGTATGTTTGTGGTCAAAGGCGTAACAGTGAGGGAAACAGATGGTCCTGAACTTAGAGCTGGTGAGAAACTTGAATTTTGAAGTTTTTTTTGTTTTTTTTAGGTATACAATTTAAAAATGATCTAATACAGCTTAATAGTTATCTAATCGTGTCTTGTAATTAGATATGCTGGTCACCACTACCAGTGATTAAGCATGGACACGCCCTATTAATTTGATGTTGTTGATACTGTATATACATGTTGAAGCATTTAACTGGCTTTCTGTTCATTTTCAACCAGCAAATAAAATGTGTTTAAACTTCATCACTTTAAAAATATCAAAATAAAAGAATTAAATAGCTGATAATATCTTGATAATGATACAAGCATCTGTACTGAAATGTCACACTGAAGGAGAATAAAAGCTGAAAATGGTCCACTCCATCTTCCATGATTAATATTTATGAAAAGAAAAAAGTGTTATTCAGTTATTCTTATTTATACTAAACATTGTCCACTGATAGACCTTTTTTTTAATAATTTGTCTACTTGTGTATATACTTAGTAACAGTTGTGTGGGAATTAAGGCCCAGTGATTATATATACACCGTTCAGATGGTAAATCCATATATCCATTAATTTGATGAGCACAGGTGGGGAATATTATTTGACACGGTAACATACAACACATTGGCATTACTGTCATCAGCTATATAAGGCAAGGCATTCACAGTGGAGTTAGACCACTGTCAGAAGTTGGTGAGTATTAAGCCAGTTCCCCATATTACAAATCATCCAGGGTGCCTTTGTACAAGCGATCTTAGCGCTAAGGTGATCCTAACTCCCATACCTTGCCACAGACTTAAGACAGTCATAGTGTTGAGGACCGCCTCCGTTGTCTAGTGGTAGAGCGTCCGCCCGGAGAGCGGAATGCCCGGGGTTCGATCCCTGGCCGCGTTATACCAAAAGACGTGAAAAGATGGTACTTGTTGTTACCCTGTCTAGCGCTCGGCAAGGACTGGTCGGCTCAGAGTCAGTATACTGTGTCTGAGTGGGGTATTCATGTTAAACTGCAGCATGGTATCTCAGTGAGCTAGCACTATAAATCGGCATGGTACAAGCAGCCACACAAACACACACACACGTACATGCACGTCGCTATATAAGTGCAATAATCTTGGACGCGACGTTAAACCCCATTTCACCTCACCTCACCATAGTGTTGAGGTTGTTTTGAAAAACGGCACCGGCAACGGTTCAGGTGTCTCTGATATTCTTTATTAGTTGGTTTACAAACTTGGGGCCTAAAATTAAAGGTAAGTGGATGAAAAAGGAAAGAAGAGGAATTTTTTTCAACTTCCTGATTAATACTGTTAATCATTTTTGTAACTACTTGGACTGTGGATGCTTGTTAGACATCTGCTTGTTATATATATCTGCCTATGCTTGTCGTAAGAGGTGACTAACGGGATCGGGTGATCAGGCTCGCTGACTTAGTTGATGCATGTCATTGGTCCCAATTTTTTAGTTATGATGCATTTACTGAACTGTATCAACTAAAAAACAATTTTCTAGAATTTGGAGGTTTGATTTCAGCAATAAGAACATATGCACATTCCAAATCAATATATTTTGGAAAACAAGTAGAATTGCCCTTTATTTCTCAAGGTTTAGAGATATCATATAATGAAGATAAAGGATGCAAGATATTTTATTCAAATTTAGTAAATAATCTAATTAAATTAAAAGTTTCACAGTGAAACAAATTCGGAAAATGAAATTGATTCTGAAATAACGGAGGATTTATGGAAAACATATAATTTAATTGTTTTTCGAGCAAACAATGGCACCAAACTAAAATGATTTCCATAGAATTCTCACAACTGATACATATTTATACATCTATAAAATTACATTACCATCATGTACTCTCTGTGGATTTGAAGTTGAATCTATTATCCATCTGTTGTTTGAATGTACACATGTAAAACCATTGGGGCACAGCTTAATGAAATGTTCAGAAAAATGTACTGGCACAAAATTGTAATAAATAAGCAACATGTCATATTTGTATTTTAGGAAAAACTTGATTTTCAATCGAACTATATTATACATCAACAAAAACAAGTGTACAAATTGCTTACCAAATTTGAATGGTCTCAAGACTATGTTAACAAATTGTTATCACTTCATTTAGCCAATGTCCAGTGTTAATAATATGATGTATGTAACATAATTATATTGTCCATCAATTATTCTCTTTGAAATGTGTCAATACCCATAGAGTGTACCTGTACCCTCAAAAAGAAATAGACCCGTGAAGATCTGGGGTAGAATAGATCTTCAGCAACCAATGCTTGTCGTAAAGGCGACTATGCTTGTCATAAAAGGCGACTAACGGGATCGGGTGGTCAGGCTTGCTGACTTGGCTTGATGCATGTCATCGTATCCCAATTGCGTGGATCAATGCTCATGATGTCAATCACTGGATTGTCTGGTCAAGACTCGATTATTAACAGACCGCCTTCATAAAGCTGGAATATTGCTGAGTGCTGCGTTAAACAACAAAGAAAGAAACAAACAAAAAGCACTAAAGTGAAAAAAAGAAGAAAATATCTTTAAAAAAGGAAATCCCAATCAAGACCAAAAGCAGTTAACCAAAACAAGTGGCTAACCTCTCAAAACCACTACTCATTTACCTCAAGAATCCTCATACTTAGTTCACTCTCAATGCAGATAGTATACATTCTTAGAATAAGGTATTTAGGAAGAGAAAGTTACCTACTGTAGCTTTCAATAATATATTTACATTTATAGCCAATCAGAAATGTGGAAGTTGGCAGGTTTCTCACGTAGATCTGCCCACAGTAGTAGACTATAAAACGGCTGATAACAGATGAGGGATGGAGGAGGGATATGGTAACTGCAACTAACATCCTGTTCTCCCAAGGCTAGTTAAAATTCAAAAGGGCTATAGTCAAATAGTGTTTGACACCATCCAGTGTTCGAAATTGAAGAGGGTGACGGTCTAGGGCCCTTCAGGTTTACTGCTATCGTTGTTGAAACTAGATTGTCAACTCTGAATCACTGTGATATGACAAGGACCCAAGGATGCTGCTATGTCTTTTGTCATAGTTGTCTCACAGCCACAATCACCACTTGATTCATTCCTTCAAACATGACAATTTTCTGGGCAACTTACTTACATTTAACTTCATTCTTTTATAAAACAAACATTTTCAAGGCATTCTTAGGTCTTATTAAGCTCATAAAGGGCCAGTAGGATATTAGTGAGTGAGTGAATGAGTATGGTTTTATGCCGCTTTTAGCAATATGCCACCAATATCACAGCAGGGGGACACCAGAAATGGGCTTCATACATTGTACCCATGTGGGGAATTGAACCCAGACCTTCGGCGTGACGAGCAAACGCTTTAACCACTAGGCTACCCCACCGCCCCAGTAGAATATTTAAAGGGCTAGTTGTGTATACTACTTATTGAGGGATTTCTTTTGACCTGCTGACAGTGAATATCAGTAAATGTTCCC